GTAAAGTATTATATATAACACACACATATGTAAACTGAAGAAACCTAGTGTAAAGTATTATATATAACACACATATGTAAACTGAAGAAACCTAGTGTAAAGTATTACATTAACACACACACATGTAAACAGAAGAAACCTAGTGTAAAGTATTATATATAACACACACACATGTAAACTGAAGAAACCTAGTGTAAAGTATTACATATAACACACACACATGTAAACTGAAGAAACATAGTGTAAAGTATTATATATAACATACAGATATATAAAAAATACCTTACACTAGGTTTCTTCAGATATATAACACACACATATGTAAACTGAAGAAACCTAGTGTAAAGTATTATATATAACATACAGATATATAAACTGAAGAAACCTAGTGTAAGGTATTATATATAACACACGCATATGTAAACTGAAGAAACCTAGTGTAAAGTATTATATATAACACACACATATGTAAACTGAAGAAACCTAGTGTAAAGTATTATATATAACACACACATATGTAAACTGAAGAAACCTAGTGTAAGGTATTATATATAACACACACATATGTAAACTGAAGAAACCTAGTGTAAGGTATTATATATAACACACACATATGTAAACTGAAGAAACCTAGTGTAAGGTATTATATATAACACACACATATGTAAACTGAATAAACCTAGTGTAAAGTATTATATATAACACACTCATATGTAAACAGAAGAAACCTAGTGTAAAGTATTATATATAACACACCCATGTAAATGATGATGCTCTGGGTTAGGTGTTTATATATAATACATCCATGTAAAATGAAGACAAAAGACATATAACATGACACATATATACTCCATGTAACAGATATAACATGACAGATTTGCTAAACCAACATGTAGGTGCAGTTTGAACTATTTATATGTTTTGATGTGTATTTTATAGCCATCTTTATTTATTTCTTAAAATTTGAAAGTAAATCTCAGTTAAATTTTACCCAAGGTTTCAGTAATGTATCCTGAAAAATAAACAAAAAAGTTATAAACTAAAATAAAAATTATGAAGAACTATGTAAATATTTTTTCTGTATTACTTAACAATTCAGTTGAAGTGAACCTAACTTCTTTAGTCTCTCTCTCTAGTTTAGCTATAAAGTGTATTAACTAATAACGAAGACAAACCTTGTAAGATAAAATAGCCTTGTCATCAGTAAGTTATTTGTTCTAAAAGTAATGACTATGTCTAATTAAAAGTCACAAGGCTGTTTTATTTTACAAGGTTTGTCTTTGTTGTTAGTTAAGAACAACTTATCGTACATTGACCAAGTAAGTTCAGGGACCTACAACGTACCCATTTCTTAACCTTCTACACTTTCTAGCTAAACTACTTTTATACACACACACCTTGCAGCTGTTACTAAACTTTTTTGAAACACAGAGTAAACATATAATTTAAAAGCCAGTAGCATAGCAAGAGAAAACAGGATCAACATTGGATTAAATTACCACTTCAGAAACCTTATTTTTTATATCACCAACTATTTTAAAGTTTGTAGTCATTGGAATTTAATGTATAGCTCTCACTAAACTACATTCTAATGGAAAAAGTAACAGATTATCTCCATAGAAAGCAAGCCTTATTCTCACATCTGACAAAACACAAGTCTTACCATTAATACAAAACTACAACTGAGGCACCTAATTGTTCCTTTGTAATATTTACAGTCATACACCATACATCTGTACTTGTTTTTTAAAACTACACTGTACATCTGTACTACTTGTTTTTTAAAACTACACTGTACATCTGTACTACTTGTTTTTTAAAACTACACTGTACATCTGTACTACTTGTTTTTTAAAACTACACTGTACATCTGTACTACTTGTTTTTAAAACTACACTGTACATCTGTACTACTTGTTTTT